ATATATATATATATATAATAAAATCTAAACAAAGTTGAAGTAAAACAGAATAATACCCCAATGAGTTTGTAAATAATGAGGTTTCCACAATTTCTCTGTAGGAAGCAACTTAACGTCACATACGAATGTCATGTTTGTAGCTTTTTCCCTAATCGCAATTTGGGGACTATCAGAAGGAAAAAGACAAAGATATCCATAATTAAGGTGAAACATGAACGGACTTGGATGATTAAACGTTGGATACATTTCAGTAGATATACTGACCTCTAAGAGCATAAAGATGTGATTACAATATGCAAAAATGCTTATAAGAAGCAAGATGCCCTCTATGAGAACTGAGGTTCAGTGTCACTGATTTCTGAATTAAAACTTTAAGTAACACATCAGAACAAGGCCTGGTACAAAGGACCTGCTAAGGACTTAATTTATAATTACTCACTTCACGGTCACAACAATACCGTGAGGCAAGGCACTATCATTACCCCCATTGCATAGATGAATACCAGATGATCTGAGAAGTTAGGTGACTTACCCAACATTGAACGGCTCGCAAGTAGAACTGAATTCAAACCCAGGCATTTTTGTCCTCAAATCTATGCTCTCACTTCAATTAATGCAGATCTCATTTTAATGAGTACATAATCCTAATATGGCTGCCAAATTTAACAAAAGAAATGCAGGATGTCCAGTTAAACTTGAATTATTTGGGACATGCTTATACTAAAAAGTTATTTGTTTTTTATCTGAAATTCAAAGGTAATTGAGCATTCTGTATTTTTTCTGGCAAACCTACCCATGAGGCAGGAGATCACATGGTTAATTAAGAGCATAGACTCTGGGTCCAAATCCCAGCTCTGCCATTTACCAGGAGTGTGATATGGAGCAAGTTTCTTAATCCTATTGACCCTCCGTTTACTCCCCTGTAAAATGGGGGTGATAAATTTACCTAATGGGGCTAATTTGAGAGTTAAATGAATTAATGCATATAAAGCCTTAGAACTATGCCCGGCATGTCTCTAAGCAGTAAGTAAATATTAGTTGCTATTAGGATTACTCCTAACCCTTTCCTCACCAAAGCCTCACATGGAAACTCAATAAAACCAACAGAGACCCTGAATTCATGATGTCCTCTGCCGAGGATCTTCTATTTGCTCACTTAACCCCCTTATGAAAATACTCCCTTAAAGGACAGCAACTTCTCACATTAACATAGGGAGGTTGCGGTTGAGTTCTAGAAAATACTAGGGACTTCAGAAAGTTTTGTTTGAATGTGTTTGGCTTCCCTAAACTGCCTATTGAAGTCGCTCAACTTGCTTTCTTTATAATGAAATGGGTAGTTTTCTTTTAGGGGGACGTGTAACTTCTCTTTCTGAATGAGCCTCACTACAGCCTGCTTATCCATCTAATGGCAGGTGAAGGGTCACAGGACCTGGGCCTTGCAGTGCTGAAACCTGGCAAGTCCTGGGCAGACCAGGACGAGTTGACCACCCTAGTTCACGTAGCTAGATTACCTCAGGACCCCTTATGGCACAGAAAACAACTGACGTCTCAGCCACTCTCAGGGTCAAAAATGTAGGGAAGAAAACGCTCTGAGTTTGGCCTTCCCTGGCTTCTGGAGCTGGGGAGGAGCTCTGGAATCTAGGTCCTCCATATTTAACGTGTTGTCTTCGAGCCAAAATTCCAGCCACCACCTGGGAGCTTATCAGAATCTCAGGCCCACGCGAAACTCAACATTTGCATTCTGACAAGATGGAGCGAGTCATATGCACAATAAAGTTTGGGAGACACCAATCCAGGCCATCACTAGGATTTCCCCAGCCTCCCCAAGTTATCTCCGGCAGTCATGAAGCCTGTGCTTAACCCACTGCCTCCACTTATATAATCACTGAACAGTCTGAACTGAAAAATATCCTTGCTCAAGATCTGGGGTCCAGTCTCCATCCCCAAACACCACCCTGAATTCCAAGGCCTCCTCTGGTGATAGTACCAGTCAGTTGTTCTTGAGTACTTAGAAAAGACCATCACGTCTTTTTTTTCCTAGTCTCCCTAGCATGCTAAATGTTTCCTGTGTTTTCAACTGGGCTTTGTACTATTAGGGTTCCCATCTGGTCTTATCTCAGAATTCATTATTGGCTCCAAGTCCTTCTCACTTTGATACAAACCCAACCTGCTTCCATTTCCCAAAATAATTTTGGACCATCTGGTGCTTGGATAACAACCTAGAGCTCCTGGAGGGGCTCCTCCATGACGTTGGGCACGGGGAGAAGCCAACGTGGCCATTTTTCCTATTAGAAGCATGTTTAACTTGCACGGCTTCTTGCAGTTTCTGAGAACAAGGCTCTGTGCCACCCCTCGTCGGTGGACTCTCTCTCCACCAGCGCGGCCACAGAGGACCATGTCTCCATGGGAGGATGGGCAGCAAGGAAGGCACTTCGGGTCATCGAGCATGTGGAGCAAGGTAAACCCAGCCAGTCTGGGATGGCAATCCTCTCTGATTAACTTCTACATCTGTGAGCCTCAAAACAGGCAGCATCAGCATCACCTGGGAACTTGAGAAAGGCAGACTCTTAGGCACCACCCCTCAAGACCTGCTAAAGTAGAAACTCTAGGGGAGAGAGCAGGACAATCTGGTTGAACAAGTCTTCCAGGTGATTCTGATGCTCCCTGAAAATTAAGAACCACACCTGCTGACCTATCAGGTTTATTAGTTGGCTTTATTTTTCAAACAATTTAAAACATATTCAGAAGTAGAGAGATTAGTACCATGAGCCCTCATTTATACCTCACTCTGACTCAACAGCACATTTGCTTCATTTTTTCTTTTACTTTTCTCAAGTTATTTTCAAGCAAATCCCATCACATTATTTTCTTCCTGCATTTTTATCTACCATGATGCCATTATCACATCCAACAAAGTCAACAAGTCTTGGGGTCACTGATAAGTCCATATTCAAAATTTCGCAATTATCTCAATGCCCTTACAGTGGGTTTTTTTCAAATCTAGATTTAAGGCCCACATTTTAAATTTGGTGTGTTAAAAGCTTTAAGCTTCTTTTTATCTAGAACAGTCCCCTCTCCCTTTTTTTTCTTCATGCCATGGACTGGATTAAAAACAAAAAACAAACAAAAAAACAAAAAACCAGGTCAGTCTTCTGTTAGAAACCGACATTCTGGATTTACCTGTTGGCTGCCTTATGGTGTTACTTTTAAGTTGTTCTCTAGCCCTTGCATTCCCTGTATACTGCGGTTGTTCCTAAAGGCTTGACGAGATTCAGATCCAAACCTTCTGGCACATACTTCTAGGGTGGAACTGAGTTAGGCCAACCTCTCTCTGCCTTCTAAATTACTGCTTGTTTTGTTTATTGTTTTTTAAGTTTATGTATGTATTTAGAGAGAGAGAGAGACAGAGATTGCGCAGGGGCAGAGAAAGAGGGAGACAGAGAATCCCAAGCAGGCTTCTCACTGTCAGCACAGAGCCTGACGCAGGGCTTGAAACCACCAACTGCAAAATCATGACCTGAGCTGAAACCAAGAGTCAGACACTCAACCAACAGAGTCACCCAGGCACCCCTTGTTGAGCTTTTTAATTTTTTTTAACGTTTATTTTTTGAGAGAGAGAGAGAGAGAGAGAGCAGAGCGTGAGCAGGGGAGGGGCAGAGAGCAAGGGAGACACAGAATCCGAAGCAGGCTCCAGGCTCCGAGGTGTCAGCCCAGAGCCCGATGCGGGGCTTGAACTCACAAACTGTGAGATCATGACCTGAGCAGAAGTGGGAGGCTTAACCAACTGAGCCACTCAGGCGCCCCTCTTGTTTTGTTTTGTTTTGTTTTGTTTTGTTTTGTTTTGTTTAAAGGAATTGCCTTCCTTTAAGCATTGTTATCTAAGCTCCTAAATTTTTGCAACTGTATTGGAAGCAGTTGGCTGACAAGAGTATCACTACGGTAATTCCCACCTTATCCACGGGGGAAACGTTCCAGGACCCCCCTGTGGATGCCCAACACCACGGGTAGTACCAAGTCCTACGTATACACACATACCTATGATAAAGTTTAATTTATAAGTTAGGCACAGTAGGAGATAAGCAAGAACGATAAAATAGAACAATTATAACAATATATTGAAATAAAAGTTATGCGAATGTGAACTCTCTCAAAATACCTGACTGTACTCACCCTTTCTTGTGACTATGTGAGAGGATAAAACGCCTACAGACGAGATGAAGTGAGGTGAATGTCGCAGGCGTTATGACGTAGCATCAGGCTTCTATTGACCTGATGATTCGTCAGAAAGAGGAACCTGACAAATCATCAGGCTCACCTGCTTCCACACGGTGGTTGATTGCAGGCCACCAAAACTGTGGAAAGCGGAACAGCAGATAAGCAAACACTGCGGTATTTTAAGATAAATGTGGGAGAGCTGAGTATTCTTGTTAACAGCTGGATCGAGATATAATTTACATACCATACAATCACCCATTTAAATTGCACACTTGACTTGCTATTAGTATATTCACAGAGTTGTGCCGTCACCACCACCAAGTTTAGAACATTTTCATCACCTCAGAAAGAAACCTCGTACCCTTTACCTATCCCTCTCCTATTGTCCCACCCTGTCCCCGGGCTTAGGCACCCACGAATGTACTTTTCTCTCTCTGTGGATTTGCCTACTCTGGACGTTTCACGTAAGTGTCATACAATATATGGCCTTTTGTATCTGGCTTCTTTCAGTCAGCATAATGTGTTCAGGGTTCCTCCATGGTGTAGCATGTATCAGTACATCATTCCTTTTTGTGGCCACACACTCCATTTTATGGATTTAACACATTTTGTTTATCCATTCATCAGTTGAGAGATGTTTGGGTTTTGTCTGCCTTTTGGCTAATATGAATAATGCTACTATAGACATTTGTGTACAAGTTTTTATGAAGACGTATATTTTCATTTCTCTAGAGTGGAATTGCTGAGTCATATGGTGACTGACCTCCATCTTTTTGAGGAACTGCCAGACTATTCTCCAAAGTGGCTGTACCATGTTACATTCCTATCTGCAGTATTTGAGAGTTCTGATTTTTCCACATCCTCACCAACACCGGAGTGTGTTCCTAATGTCCATTCTTGAGATGGTCTCCCCATTAAACATGTGGCTCTGGCCAGAAGGTTAAGGAGACACCCTTATCAGACTCCTATCCAGATCGGATCTTCTAGCCAGTTCTTCAGCAAATTAACCTTACTGTCAAAAGACACCAAATCAAGGCACCATCATCTCCTTTTGATTGATATCTCCTTGTTTTTACTACAGTTCTTCCATAGTCACCACATAAAATAACCCCGGTGAACTTCTTAAAATGTAATTTTGATCACACCATGTTCCTGCTCAAATTTGCCAAGTTTCCTCATCGTACTCAAAACAAAACCCAGCCCCCTTCCTGTAGCCTACCAGGATCATGCGTGATCTGGCTTCTGGCTCTCACTGGCACCTGTCTCCATTCCATTCGATACCTTGGAGCCACAGTGTTATTCTTGTACCTGCCAGTACCTCAGCACCTGTGTCCTCGCTGGTCTCTCTGCCTGCAACATTGTTCCCCAAGGACTTCACATGGTTCACTTCTTCACTCTATCTTTGTAGCTGTGCAGATTTCACCTCAGATGCCTTCCCTGTCCACCCCAGCTCAACTTCTTAAAGTTTCCAATACCTTACATATGAAGTGAGGGGACTAGACTAGAAGATGTAAAGTTTCTTCCAGGTCCAAAATAGATCATTTATTTCATCCTCTCCTATTGTGACTTGTCTGTACTCACCAGAGTTTGTGATGCAATTCATAAATTCTAAGACGAAAAGTCAAATATTTTCAATACTCCATTTCAGTTAACCACTTAAATGGTTTGATCAACTTTACCCTTCTAAACTATTTTTTCTTGGCAAATAATGGAATCCAAATGTAGAGAAACTTAGATGTCAATATTCAAAGCCAATCACAAGGTATGGTACATTTAATAAGTTCTTAGCTAGGAAAAACCTGTGTAAGGATTGTTTTATCAAGAAGCCGAAAGTTGGCAAAGTACCAATTTCTAGAATTGCATTTTTTTTTAATTTTTTTTAATGTTTATTTATTTCTGTAAGAGAGAAAGACAGAGCAGGACCAGGAGAAGGGCAGAGAGAGAGGGAAACACAGAATCCCAAGCAGGCTCCAGGCTCTGAGCTGTCAGCACAGAGCCCAATGCGGGGCTCGAACTCACAAACCGTGAGATCAGGACTTGAGCCCAAGTCGGGACGCTTAACCAACTGAGCCACCCACGCGCCCCTAGAATTTCAGTTTTAATGGGCCTGGGAGCCTTTGAGTTTGAAGGTTTGAAATGAGCACTATAGAATCAGTGCCCAACAAAAAACTCATTTGCTCATTCACTGGCTCCTTCAATCCTTTGATGAAAGTCTATTGCCAGGTATTTCAAGCCAAAAGAAATAGCAAGACTAAAAACAAATTGAAATTTATGCAAAGGTGGAAATAGGACAAAGATATCATCCATCTTGATCAGATAAACAGGAAGTGGGGGGCTAAGACATTTAGCTGGATAGTGCTCTCCTTCTTAACATTAAAGATACAGCCAATAGGTTAGAAAAGCAAATTTAAGATGGTAACCAAACACCAAGGCAGCTTTATTCTACCACTAGACAGAGAACCGACTATCTCTTAGTTGGCTAGCAGTGTCGACTTCCTCGTGAGTTATATCCCCCCAGCACGAAGTCAGGCTTTAATCATCCCTCCACCTTTCTTATTGTAGTGCTGGCCATCGAACTTCTGGCAGCCTGCCAGGGCATAGAGTTTCTACGCCCCCTGAGAACAACTACTCCTCTGGAAAAAGTATATGACCTGGTGCGCTCTGTTGTAAGGTAAAGTCAAACAGGTCCCTGGAGATGCCATCATTTCAGATCTGTGAACCCTGGCAGTGGTGAATGTTTGGCTGATGGTTTGATGTACTTTCTCTGTAGGCCCTGGATAAAAGATCGCTTCATGGCCCCAGACATTGAGGCAGCGCACAGGCTGCTCCTGGAACAGAAGGCAAGTTGGCCACTTGGCTTATTTCTTAGTTTTGGGTCATTATGGGAAAGCAAAGTGGGAGTAGGGAGTGAAGAAATATTGTCTTATTCTTTTGTTTCTCGTCTATGCCTTGGATGTGAACAAAAAGGAACTTGGGCAACTTCTTGTGCAACTTTAAAAAGCTGTCTGATAACCGCTTAAGTGTCCTGTGTTGCACCCAAACATTAAATATCTAATGATTAGAAACTGAAATGATTTTAAATGGAGTTTGGGACAGGTATTCATGGGGAGAAAAAATGAGATGAGAGTTTCATGGATCCCCTTCACCAAGAGCGTTCTCTTTCATTCAAAAGTACGTTATCACCACCACCTCCAACTGGTCCAATGATTAAATAGATTCAAAGAGAAAACGAAGTCCCAGGTTTTTACTTCAAAGGTCTATAGGTCTGTCTAGTGCCGTGGGGTGTCCTACCCCATCATCACCCTGATTGAGGTACTACAGGTTCTCTTTACTGCTTATTTTCTCTGGTTTCATTGACTAGAGATTTCTCTGATAGGGACAGATGCCTCATAGGCTGACTCATTTTTTGTATATATTTTTTAAAGTTCTTTAAGCCTTTTGTAATAATTTGTGAGTATCATGTTCTCTAGAATTTCTTGATTTCCCCTGGAACCATTGCTCTGTTCTTGGGGAATGATTTTTCCCTTTGATCTTCACATCTGTCATTTCTAAGTGTGCCCTACACCCTTTGAGGGGACGCCCCTTGCTTGCTGCCAACTTTGATGCACATAGAGAGGTAGATGAGAGAGGTTGGCCTTTTTTTATTAATTGAAATATGACTGACATATAACATATCCATTTCGGGAGTACAACCTAATGACTTAATATTTGTATATATTGCAAAATGATCACCACAATAAATCTAGTTAACATCTGTCACCATACATAGTTATAATTTCTTCTTGTGATGAGAACTTTTAAGATCTAATCTCTGAGTAACTTTAAAATATACAATACAGTATTATTAACTATAGTTATCATGTTGTGTATCCCCAAGATTTATTTATTTTATAATTGGAGGTTTGTACCTTTTGACCCCCTTTATCCATATCGCTCACTCTCCAACTCCCCCACCCCCACCTCTAGCAGCCACCAATCTATTGCCTCTATCTATGAGCTCAGTTTTTGCCGTTGTGGTTGCTATTTAGATTCCACACATAAGTGAGATCATACAGTATTTGTCTTTCTGTGACTCATTTCATTTAGTATACTGCCCTCACGGTCTATCGATGTTATCATAAATGCCAGGAGTTCCTTCTTTTTTATGGATGATTAACACACACACACACACACACACATACATACATACATACATACCACATTGTCTCTATCCATTCGTCTGTTACTGAAAACCAAGTTTAGCTGTCCATCGCTTGAAAGGCCAATACTCAAGAGATGAGTTTTGATTAGAAAGGGATATGAGTTTTATTCAGGAGGCCAGCCACCTGGGGAGAAATAGACTCTTGTCCAAAAGCCAACTCCCAGGTTTCTGCCTAGCACAGAGGTATTTAAAGGGAGTTAAACAGTTAAGAGAATGCAGTGGTCTATGACATTTCTTACTTACATGCAGACTCAATGATGTCAGCTACAGAGTTATCTCAGTTCTTAGAGGTTGTGGAAGAAGTTCCAGTTTCTTGATGCCCAGGGGAGTGGGGGGAGCTGCAAGGAAGTCTGGTTTCTTGGTACCCAGAGGTTGTGCAAGAGTACTTTGTTCTTTTTTTTTTTTTTAATATTTTTTTAATGTTTATTTATTTTTGAGAGAGAGAGAGAGCGACAGAGCATGAGCAGGGGAGGGGCAGATACAGAGGGGGACTCAGAATCCGAAGCAGGCTCCAGGCTCTGAGCTTTCAGCACAGAGCCTGTTGTGGGGCTCGAACTCACGAAGTGTGAGATCATGACCTGAGCTGAAGTCAGATGCCCAACTGACTGAGCCACCCAGGCTCCCCAAGAGTACTTTGTTCTTTCTGCAAAGGAGGGCAAGATCTACAGATGACCAAAGGGAGGTCAATAATCACTGTGTGATCTTAAAAAAGAAAAACATTTTGCTAAAACATTGCTGGGCTAGTTGGAAAGCCAAGGTGGCTTCAAACATACTTGCTGGCCTCTGCAGGCGGGGAAAGTTCTTGGTCCTTCATTCCCCAAGGCCAGTGGTCGGCAAATCTCAAAAGAAACAAATTAATTCTGTTATAGATCAAGGGCCTTAGGTGGGCAAGCAGGAAGTGTGTTACCTTAACTCAAGTTAACTCTTAAGACTGGGTGGAGTTGTTATACATCTGTCTGTGGACACTTAGGTTGCTTCCATGTCTTGGCTATTTGCAAATAATGCTGCAATTAAACCTGGAGATGCACGTATCTTTTCGAGGAAGTTAGCCTTTGAAAGAATATATTTTTTATGGTAATACAAAAGAATAGGAAATCCTCCTTGGTTGTTGTCAGCAAGCTGATAAAAAGCAGTTGTAAACCAAAAACAGGACCTTAACGTGAGAAGACATGATGCTTGAAAGAGAATAGGTTGGTGGGTGGAGGTATAAACAAGGGTCTGAAGCAGGCTTCTCAAACTGTGATGTGCGTGTGAATCTCCTGGGGATCTTGTTCCAGATGCTGCTGCTTCTGCTCCACAGGTCACACTTTGAGTAGCAAGAGTGTAAGGAATACACACACAGCATGGAAATCTGGCAAATGAGGAAATCCACCGCCTTATTCAAAGCTTGTTTTAGAAAACACACGGTCATCGTTTGAGCAACTTTCTTTAATGCTGTCCACACTGAATTCTCTAGGCTTTGTGTGTTTGTTAGCTTGTTTTGCTCCAGAAGAGTAAGCAGCTGAAAACCTTCGTGGTAACTCCAGAAAGGTTTCAGACTAGCTTTGCGCAGTGGCAGTATCGTTGCTAATGAGGTTTATCCGAGGTGCGATTATTGCTAATAGAAAGGTTTCAGACTTTGTATTTTAAAATCTGTTAATGCAACCAAAGAGCAGTTGACACAGATCGTATGTCAAATGGCTTAGAACAAAAGCAAGGAAACAGCCGCTACGTGTCTAGTCAGCGATAGACGTTTTGGTCCTACCAGGTTGATGTTCCATGGCATGTGAGAACAGTGTCCTCAACATTTTGACTTTGTTTTGTCCTTCTCAGGTTTGGGAAGTAGCTGCACCATACATAGAAAAATACAGAATGGAACATATTCCAGAATCCAGACCAGTTTCTCCAACGGCCTTTTCACTGGAATTCCTACATAAGAATTTCATCAAAATCCCAGAGTCTGGGGATCTTTAATGGGCTTTGTCATGGATTAGCAGATCAGATGGTACTTTAACAGCAAGCAGTATTATGCTGAGGAAAAGACCTGAGAACTTCCCTGGGTAGATCAACCCATTATTTTATTCCATTCTTCTAAAACCTACTTTGGTTAGGCTGGTGACTGTATTAGTTGCTGACTGTAGCGCTGTGTTCTTGTTGACTTGGTTTGAGACACGGCAGCTGTTTTCAGATTATAGTTTTCTTTGTTTCTTAACAGGCCACAGGCCACTTAACATTATTTGAACTCAAACAGTTCAAATGGTATCTGGAAACAGATTGATGGTATTCTTTTCCAAATGCATTAGACTTTTGTAAATCTTTTTTGTTTGTTTGTTTGACAAGCTCTTCACTAGATAACTGATCGAATTACACTACAATATGGTGGATGTTCTTTAATAGGCCTTGATAAACAACTTGTTTTGAAGTCATAATTTGTCCTTAAGCTTCTCTTTCTTCTATTGATCGAATCATAGTCTAGTCAAGAGGTCAGCAAGAGGTTTTGTGCAAAGGAGCTGAGGAATGAATAAAGAGATTGCCATTGGAGTGGCCCTTAGTGATATTTATCAAATATCACTATATATCTCAAAAGAAATCTTAGATGCTTAAACTGGAGTTAGAGGTTAGTATTACTACTTTCTTCCTATGTGTTAGTACTGTACTCACATTCCTATAGTAACCCTTTGTTAAGGAACCTCCTGTCTCACAAATAAGGAATTTTATGTTCAAAGTTAGCCAACCCCTTCTCTTTAATGGTAATCATTAAAATGAGGAACTATTGATAAAGGTCGATGGGGCCTTGGATGTGTTACCCAGTCTGTTTTTTCCTCAAAAAATAAGATAAGGGATCTTCTGGGAAGGCTTAAGTATAATCATTTGGATGAAGGATGGGTCAGATGACCTCTTGGCTTCCCAAGGTTAAGATCTGTGGGAAGATCTTAACCTTCCATTTTGCATCCATTTGTGCAAATATGTGCAAGGCACCCCAAGCGCAAGAGTCTGAAACCGTGCCTCTAAAAACCACAGGAGGCCAGGGAAAGAACAGACACACTTGCCAGCTTGCTTACTTGATTAAAGTCTAAAATGGGTCCAACAGTACCTTTCACAATAGAGTTTTCACTTTTTAGATTGCACCTGTCCATAGGAAAGGCAGAGACAGAAGTGAAAACTGTTGCCTACATCAATTCAGTGACCAAAAAAAATGTGCTGAGAACCTGTTTACTGAAATGTTGTTCTTGGCGTTGTTGTTTAACATGCACGAGTAAGGTTTATTCATTCTTAGCCACTAACTGCAGTGGAGCCAGTATACCCAGCAGTCTGATGACGGCTCTCCACTTCAGTTTGGAGAGGGCTGGATTCCCACGAGCCACTTTCGTCTGCTGGGGCACTTTATTATGGAGTTTTTGATACAGCTCTGTTAGAAACTGATTATCACACGCCTCCAAGAGAGTACAAGGTAAACACAGAATAAATGCAGTCTCAATTGTCTTATGTTGTCACTACATTCTTAGATTTTTGTAACAAAGTTTAGCACCTCTTTGGGGAAAGCCTATTCTAACTGCAGTTAATCGAGTTTCTTAAAGATTTCCTCAATGATTGTTAACAAAGTGTCTTTAGAAAGTGTAATTGATTCCTTATCCTTTCTCTTTCTCCCTGAGTAGCAGCAAGAGTTAATGGTACTGTGACTTCCTCCCCAGCAGGTAATCTGAGCTGCTTCACCTGTTGTCTCAGGGCAGCCAGAGCCCTGGGGCTTTTATGCCTCTACTTTGCCATACTTGCTAGTATCCTTTCAGCCAAAGCAAGTCACATTCTCAAGCCCAAGTCAATCTGGAAAATAATAGTCAATGGCATGGGCATGTGATGTGCAGAACATTACTGTAACAATTTACCACTATACATGAAATCAAAAACATAACCTGAACAATTCAAGACACTTTTCATTACTACTTTAAACTTGAGTCTCATTTCTGGATCTGGTTACTGGATTATTATATTTTGATTAAACCTTCTAATTATGAATAGCATCATTTTGCATTTGGGGTGTTACTTTGGTTGAAGATATTAATTTATTAAATGTAAACGTTAAAAATATACCCAAAAAACAAAGCCAGAAAAAGAGTTGGAAGAAATGTGTTTCGGAGTACAGCATAGGCCTGGTGAGTCCACAAGATACCACATTTCTTTTGCTTCGTGATTAGTTCAAGAAATGGCTGAGGTTGCATTTGGGCCAATGAGACAGAGACAAGTTTTATTGGGGGCCTTGAGAAAGCATTCTCTCCTGAGAGCCACAGCAGTCAGGCTTTCTCATCCACCTATTTGACTTAAATGAGGAGGAAGCATAGAACACCTAGGGCTGTTGACAGCCAGTCCAACCCACTGGGGAATCTGGCCTTGGGGTAACGCCAACACGGGATGACATAGCAGAGAGGGAAGGAAGGAATCTGGGTCTTCAACGTTAAGGAGCTGCTGGAAAAAGCAGTCCTGAAGCCTGTCCTTCAGGTGAATTTCCAAAGGTGATCTAATATACTTCCTTATTTTATAAGCCAATTTTCATCCGATCTTGAAATCTATAGCTGTTAGCATCTTCCCTACCTCAGCTACTATTTCTGAGGTGCTGTACTGGGGCTAAGGTACATCAATATCACATGTAGTCCTTTATTCGAAGACTTTCCATCTAGTCGGGGACATGAAAGGCCAATTAATGTGCCAAGTGTGTGTCCTAGAGGAAAGTACAATAACCACAAACCTTTGGATCATCAGGGAGGCTTCCTGGAAGAGGTAACTGAACTATGTTTTGAGTGATGGCAGTCAGAGGGAGAAGGGAGGAAAAAGAAGAAATGTGAGCTGAACATCAACGTCAGAAGACATTTATGCCAAGAAACCAATTCTACGTTTGGTCAATTTCAATCATTAAACAAAGGGTGACCAAGATGGCCCTGGTCTTTGCCCTCACAGCTTATAGCTTAGGTAGGCAGTGGCCAGAGGATTAAACAAACAATAGCACTGTGCAAGCAGCAAGATGGAAAGGTTAGGAAGTAAGTAGATGCTAGGTCATTGAGAGCATGAGAACTCATGCTAATGTATGGTAGGGGAAGCAAAACTCTACCAGCACAGAACACCTCAGATGTGGAGGGCGAGTAAGCAAGCACGGATGGCTCATTGCTGGTTTCTACCAGTTGGGTGCCAGGCTCTTGATTCCTGCAGTAGCTGCAGTAGAATCACTTGGAAAACATGTGCCTTCATATTTCAGAATAACTTCCCATCAGAAAAAAAATCTCTCTCAGGGGCTGGCATTGAATTTATCCTTTTACTGCTTACTGTAATAAAGACCCAGATGCTCATGCTTTGGGGGTAGGGGGGATATCTGGCAAAACCAGTTTAAATTTTAAAAGTATTGTGTTTCACGAGTTCCTTTTAGAAGAATCAGCTCTTAATACACTTTGGCTTTGATTCTACTCTTTAATGTCAGTCTTACTGCCCTAATTGGGTTGTAAATTCCCTGAAGGCAGGGCCCAGTCTAGAATCAGAATTTCAGAGATGGAGGGAGTCCAACCTCTACAGATGAAGAGTTCAAGAAGAAATCAAAGCCCAGATGTTAAGTCCCAGATGTGTGTGCCCTCCAGCATACCATGTTGTCTCCTGTCTCCCACGGCATTTGGTGTGTGCACCCTCAATTCAGTGGGGGTGAGATTGTGCACGATGAGGCAAAAACTGGTTCTTGAGATGCAAAAGAACTTATATATTATGAGGGTTTATGGTCTTCCAAGCTCAGCCCTATCTGACGAAATCTTACTCCTTAGGGAGAAATCTAATTTCGGGGGGTGGCCTGATAGTTTTAAAAGGCTGAGAAAAGAAACATTGGTCTAGCCCAGCGTGGAGCACAGAGCAGGCATCTTGACATCTTACTGTGCCACTGCAAGAGCTTTCCACTTCTAGCCCCGATACCTCCTACTCTATCCACCAAAAGGACTTGTTCAAGGTGTCTTGCCAGAGTCCACGCATACAACAAATGTTTGAGTGCCTACTATGTACACTAAAACCAGATTAATTTTTTCTATAATATTCTTGTCCTGGTCCTAACTTGTTCAAAGATTCTCAGGGGCTTTTCCTGACTTTAAGAATGAGGTTCCTCCTAGTGAAGGTGACATTCAAAGCCCTGTGAAATCTGAGCCAGCCCTAGCTCCCCACGAGCCCTCTGCTCTATGAGAGCTCATCACCTATCTTCTGAACACTTCATAATGTTCCGTCTTGGAGCCTTTCTTTCTCATCAACATCCTTCCAACCCCCAAAGGTAAACATGGCAGCCCAGCTCCCCACCCAACCATGGAACTGTTTCTTTGGGTTTACTTTTACAATTTACTCCTCCATGAGCATCATTCTTTGGCATTAACTTAAGGAATTCATATGTTCTTTCCAATTCACAGAACATTTTCCTTATCACTGCCTTCCTGGGGTGGTCTACTTAGTATGTTTTAATAAGTCACTTTCACTGTGACTATCAGTATGTTTGTGTAGCCGTTCATTAATTCATTTCTTGATCACCTGCTATGAACCAGTCACCATACTAGATCCTGGGGCACGATGAGGTCCCTGCCCTCTGTTAACATTCTAAAGGGAAAGACAGTTAAAACCACAATGCTATTAAATCTATCATGGAGGATGGGTGCATGGTGGGGGTGTGGAGGGACTAGATTTACCACATAGAGAAATGAGGGAAAGCAGTCCAGGCAGAGGGAACAGTGATGCAAGGCCTGGAACAGCAAAAGCAAACTGTGTTTTGAGGCACAGTGTGAAAGCCAGGGTCGCTAGGGGTCTAGACTGCAGTACTTTTCAGAACTTAATTACCGTACAAATAACCTGGGGGCTGGTTAAGACACAGATCCTGATTCAGTAGGTCTGGAGGGAAGCCAAAGTTCTCATTTCTAGCAGGATCCCAAGTTGCTAGGGCTTACAGGACACTGGCCTGGGAGGACTAAGGC